CTGGCGTAACTGTACCGCTTGTTTTGGCGACGATGCGTATGCACCAATGGAAATTTACCACGCGTTTTTTCTATTCCCTTTCCTCCTGTACGAAATCTGGCGTAACTGTACGTCGCGACATGTGGGACGAAAATTTCTTACACTCGCAAAAACGAATGTGCTCTGGTCGAAAAATATGTTTATGAAAAATATATTCCCTGACATTAAATTTTCTATCCCCGTCCTTTAGAAAACTAAATTTCCCTGCTTTTGCCTTCGCGAAAAATTTATATTATATTTTTTTTTCTACTAGAAAATTCTGGATTTTCGGCCAGTGGGGCTTTAATCCACTGAAAAAATTTATCCTAGCTGTCCTGACCGGTCCCTGCTCCGGGCGCCATCTGTAAGGATGTGTCTTAGGCCGGGGTAAACCTCAGCGGCCCAGGATTCCTCTCCAGAAATATTTATATTTTAGAGACGGCCAGGACATGGACGCCGAATTTAAAGAATTTTTCTAGGCAATAGGGGCTCGTTTTCAAAAGGGGAACCCTGGCTTCGGGAAAATGGGAATCTTGGACGGTCACCCTGGCGATGGCCAGGTGCTCCTCCGTTTTCCTGTGCCCGCTCGGGTGCCCAGCAGCGGCGACTCTTCCGATCGGCAAGATCTCCGCCGCCCGGGATAACCCAGCGGCGATGGCGGGCAAGATGCAGATCGGAAGGGAAAAGGAGAGGGAAGAGGGGGAAATCTGTGAACACGTGCCGGCGGCGATGGACTCGTAGCTCGGGAAAAACCCAGCAGCCCCGATGCCCACGCCAGATCTGTGCCCGGGAGAACCCAGCAGCGACAAATCCCGCTCCCGTCCCGCTTCTCCGGCCCGGAGCTTGCCCAGCGGCCACGCGGAGTTGGTGCGGGCAACCCAGCCACCAGCTCGGCGAGTGAGTGAGCGAGAGGGGAACACTTTGGCACGCGTCAAAATAAGGGTTGGTTGCTGCTACGCGGAGTTTTATGCGGGTGCGAGAGAGAAAGACGATGGAATTTCTGACTTCATTTTGGGTACTTTATTTTATTACTTAATTATGATGGCTACATTTTCTAATGTACGCCTGTCGGCCCTAACCTGGCCCTACGCCACACTCCAATGACCTGCCCTTACATGGCACTCGGCCGGCTCACCTGATGTTAGCAACCAGGATGTAAATCGACACACGCGGGCCCTTTTGGACTTAGCTCTACTTAGCTGTCGGTTTTTATAATCGCGCGTCGCGGAGACTGATGTCAATCGTTCACGTTTGCTGTCGCCAGAGAAGTGATCGCGCTCGCAGCTTGCAAAGCCCTTGTCGCCTCGTCTCTGCCAAAAAGGTCCGGGCAGCGCAGCTTTCGGCCGTCGGCTTTGTTATTGTTATTGTTTATGTTTTGATCGGCATGTAAATAAGCACGACCAAAACGTAAACACGCACGATCGTCGGAGGGGAAATGTCGCTGCCTCTGCCGCTGTTCGCGTCGGCAGCGGAGAGGGGAAATGGCTTCCGCGCGGTCGCTACAGTCCGTGTTGACAAAATGTATACGCCTGTGCGTTGCGGCCTAAATCTAATTTGGCCCTTCCTGGCCAAATTAACTGTGGGCTTCATGCCCGTTTAAATGTACAGTTGTGTGTGTGTGGCTAATCCTAACTTACTTCCCTATACTAATTGCTACCTTAACTATGGCCTTAACTAATATGTACAGTATTTACATAAATATAGGGGATTGTGACATCGTCACAACCGTTTCCAAAACAAACGACTTCTAGTCAACAGCCAACTCAAGCTTCTGTTCAACTTGAGCTCCATCTCCCATGAATCTGGTCATGCGCTGAAAGAGCTGCAGTCCACGATTCAGGGGTGTTTGACAGCGCTAGCACATTCCCAAATATCCACGGACAACTGGGATTGTCTGCTGGTGTTCCTGTGCGCAAGCAAGCTGCCGAAAGTTACCCTTTCGCTATGGGAACAGTCCCTAACGTCGAAATCCGACATTCCGGCTTGGGAAGAGATGAACACCTTCCTAAGCGAAAGATATCGCACATTAGAGGCCATCGAGGACATGAAGCCGACTCAAGCAGTCCCGGAAAAGCTTCAGTCCTTCGAAACGAAAGTCAGCACCAAACCAAAAGGGTGTGACTTATGCTCCAAGGAGAATCATCCAGTACGCTTATGCCCGCGCTTTCTCCAAATGTCCGTCGACGCGCGTTCCGGCTACATAAAAAAGAAGCAGCTCTGTCTCAATTGTTTTGCGAGAGGCCACCAGCTACGTGACTGCACGAGCACGCACAGCTGTTTCACTTGTAAAGGGAGACATCATACTCTGCTACATCGTAATGCAACTCCTGCAAATTCAAGATCCTCCACGCCCTCTGCTCAGCTATCTTCAGGACCCTCCAGCAGTAATGCATCGACGAGCAATCCAACGGTGCAAAATTACTTCGCCTCTGGCACTACAGCCGTTCTTCTGAGCACGGCAATTATCGATGTGTGCCATCTCGGCACGAACTACCGAGCACGAGCCTTAATCGACTCGGGATCCGAGGCGACTTTCATTTCCGAACGCCTCTTCAATTTGATCAAGCTGCCTCCTCCGAGCAGTACTTATTAATAAGTACTGCTCAAATTGCCTCGCCCACCAACATTCCGAGGGGGACCTGCCGCAGCCAGGACGGCTGCAAGAAGTGTGGAGGGAACCACCACACCCTGCTGCATATGCACGAGGAGCCGTCTCCACCCCACCCGTCGCGCAATCCGCGCCAATCCGCCAGGTCGCATCCCCGCTGTTCCACCGGGTCCGTCTCCCGCTCTTCGTCGCCAAACCGGGCCGCCATTGAGCGTCCACGTCTGGAGGTCTCCGCTACGGCTACGTCGGTGGCCACGTTGGTTCGTCAGAAGACGATCCACATACTTCCGACAGCCATCGTCGTGGTGGATACGGGATCTTCTACGTTCGAGACCGCGGCGATGATCGACCCCTGTATGGCGGTGAGCAGCATCGACCGATCGCTGGCGGCCGCTTTCCGGCTGCCCTTCACCAGTCTGGGAGACGACGAGGTCTGTTCGGCGACGCTCCGATCCCGAACAGGCAACTTCAAGCTCGAGGTCGTCCTGAAGCTTGACCCGAGCCTCAAGATCCGGACTCCTATTCGGGCTCTGAGCGACGCCACACGGGCAAATTCGGCGACATCCGCCTTGCCGATGAACAATTCCACCGCCCGGCAACCATCTCCCTCGTGTTGGGCGCAGATGTGTTTGCGAAACTAATCCAACCGGGGTTCCTGAAACTCGAGGATGGTTTGCCTGTGGCTCAGAGCACCGTGTTCGGATGGACCGTTTCCGGAGCCGTTCTGGAACACTGACGCTGATCCTGGTTCCTTTTGCTAGCGCAAGGGGGAGAATGTTCACGCCAGAAGGGCGTGAAGTTATGAGCGGCGAGCGCTTGCGCTCAAGCTTGTGCTCCCGCTCACTGTGTCCTCCGCTCTTCCCGTTTCCCTCTCTTTCGCTATTCTCCAACAGCGAACTCACCACTCCGCGGTCCCGGCAGCCCGCTCTCCATGTAATTAAGTTAGTCGTAATATAGAAGTGAAGCAATAAAATTGAATTGAAGCGAAGCTACCCCCCTCTCGCCTACTAATTGGGAAAATTGTGGGACTCAGCAGCCAGCCCAACTCCAGCCCAACGTTCCGACGACAACACCTCCAAGAAGGACGACGATCTTGTTTTGGCCACTCCGCCCCCTCCACTTCAAGTAGTTTTTGAGTTATAGTGTACACCGATTTTCAAAGTGGCATTTTTCAGGAGAGCGCTTTAAACTTTGTGATACTCATACATCGAACACCAAACGACCTCCGTTCAATGTATTAATCGATGTAAAACTTTGACACAATATTTTTACTATATTAAACCTTTACTTAAAAAATACGAAAAAAAATGTTAAAATCTTACCGTCACCTGTGTTAGTATTTTTAAGATTATAGGCACATAGGTAAATTTCGGCAACATTTTTCTCACATTTGTCACCTTAAAAGCCCGACAAACACATTGGCATACATATGAACTGTAGATTTTTGTGGGGTCACAACTATAACTTTAGCTAAACATAAAAAATACGTCTAAAATATAGACCAGAAACATGATTATTTCACATAAATATAATGGAAACAATAATTATTATTAATATATAAAATTATATCTCATTTTAAAGAAAATACCTTGAACTTCAAAATCCGTTACAAAAAATATTAATTTAGACACGCAATAAACGATCGGACCACTTTAAAGTTCAGTTTGGTTGTGAAACATTCGCGATGCGCGTAGCTGCGCTTTGCAGATGAACACGTGTTCACATCTTCAATTCAACTTTTAGAAGTCCTGTTAGATTTAAAAAAATCTGGTATGACACAAAGAAGTTTGGATATTTAAGAGACGATTTTTTTACTTTTCGTACATTTTTGTTGTAATAATTTTTTTTTATTTTTGGCCTATGGGCGCAACCACTGTGCACTGGTAAATGAGCATTGCATTTGCGATTTCTAAATGCTAGGTTTTAGCTTCAAAACCTTCCAAAATTTTGTAATATAAGTTTTATTGTTATATTTAAAAAAAAAACGGTATTTTTGTCAAGATACTAGAAAATATATAGAATAGAATAGAAAATATAATTTTAATGACCTCAATTATGAAAAAATATTGAACATACCCCGATAATGTTAAAAAATGTAACAGGATCATTATTCACAAAAAAAATGTTTACCTTATACTCGATTTATAAAATATATAGACTTAATAAGATTTATTAATTACCTTTTTTACTTCTTTCATATTCAGATGTCATCAAAATATATCATATAGCAACATATTGGTTTTAAAATCTTTTTTTTTTTTTTAACATATACCGAACAAATAATAATGAAAAGCGGCAAAGCCACTATAAGGCCGGAATGCACAATTAAGCATTAAATTTTTCTTTCTTGGCCTAACATTTTTCCGTAACTTACCTGTTCCACCCAAAGATTGGTCGTCATTATTTGATTTTTCAGGTTCTATAAAAAAAATTCGTACAAATTATTTGTATATTTAAGACGGAAAACTTTTTTTTTTCTCCTAGTGAGTTTATTTATTATTTAATATCCTGTGATAGCTTAACGTCTAATTAAAAAGTAAATGTTTATAAAGGATGATAGTGTACTTCCACTTCCACATTCACTTCCTTATGTCTGCAAAATATGCATATGCGTTTTATCTGCTAATTTATTGTTGTAACACATACATATTTCAGCTACTGAAATTTTTAAACAAAAAAAAAACCATTCTCTTGAAAGAGTCGAAAAAAAACGAATAATACCAATCGGCTACAATTTGAATAATCTTTAATTGCCATGGCAACAGAATTATTCGGCATGTTCAGGTATTGGTAGCCCTGTAGGTGTTGTTGAGCCGGTAACAGGACAAGGACAGAAGACTGTCTGTTACTGAGTGAGGTCTGTTCGTCTGTTGCAAAAATAGGAAAGAGAGAGAGAGACAGCTAGATATTGCCTTGGATTATCGTCTGAGTGAAAAGTGAGAAAAGGTGAAAGGGCCAAATGATGGCGTTATGCGACTGTGACGCCTATATTCCTCGGCGCACAACCTCTCATATAAAACTAAGTTCTAGACATTAAGTATATATAAATACTCCCCCCCATATTATAGCCATATTATAAGCATACATCTTAAGCCACGTTCAATCATTAAATCTTTTAGTTGGCACCGGAGCCGTAAGCAAGACAACCTTGGAGTATATTTAAATAGGGATAATTAAGCTAACGAATAAGCTAAGTTCAGCACCTCAGAGATCGCTGAAACGGGTACTTTATCGACTAGTCGAACTAGTCGAACCAGATCCGTTCTCGGTGAACCGGTTCGAACCACCGGTTCACTCAAAAGCTATGACAGCTCGCGTCTTCCGGCATTCGCTCTCTTCCGTCGAAACTTTGCACCGAGGCAGACGTGCCCATCGCCGCGCCTCCGCGACCGAGTCAAGAAATCAAAGTGCATCGAGTCCCTGGTAACGACCGCGACGTACGCGACCACGCAGAGACATCGGCTACAAGAGCCCACGCATTCGCGCAGATAAATTTTGCCAGACAACGACCGCGATCGGCAGCCACACGCCCGCAGACACGTGGGCTAGATTTGTAAGTTACAGGAGTCAATTCTGTAAGGCAGTAGTAGGACTCACACTTAGATAACACAATAATCAATAAACTAACAATTTAACCTACCCGTAGTAGTATTTCCTTGGTAGTGTTGGTCACGGTTTTCAGGTTCCCCGATCTCTGTCCCGCTGGCGGCCCCAAAATACTGCGTTTCGGCATTTCCATTCGCACGTGTTTTTTTACGGCCATCCAGCCTCCCATCGATCCTCTCCCGAGCTCCCCGCCGCAGCGTCACGCCAGCACAGGCTCATTCCGTGCACAGCGTGCCGCCGCGACTGGAGGACACCTACTCCTCTGCCCCGCGCCGCTAGGAACCCTCTCCCGTGCTCCCCGCCGCAGCGTCACGCCAGCACAGGCTCTTTCCGTGCCCAGCGTGCCGCCGCGACTGGAGGACACCTACTCCTCTGCCCCGCGCCGCTAGGAATCCTCTCCCGTGCTCCCGCCGCAGCGTCACGCCAGCACAGGCTCTTTCCGTGCCCAGCGTGCCGCCGCGACTGGAGATCACCTGCTCCTCTGCCCCGCGCCGCTAGGAATCCTCTCCCGTGCCTACGGCCGCAGTGTCACGCCAGCACAGGCTCATTCCGTGCACAGCGTGCCGCCACGACTGGAGGACACCTGCTCCTCCGCCCACGCCCAGCTTAGAAATCCTCTGTCGCAACTGCAGTCGTAGCGTCACGCCAGCACCGGCTCTTCCGTGCACAGCGCGCCGCCGCGACTGGAGTACACATACTCCTCCGTCCACGCACAGTTGAGGAACCCTCTGTCATACCTGCAGCCGCAGCGCCACGCCAGCACAGGCTCCTTCCGTGCTCAACGTGCCGCCGCGACTGGAGGACACATGCTCCTCTGCCCTCGCCCCGCTAGGGACCCCTCCTTGTGCCCGTAGCCGCAGCACCACACCCTAACGCTGGCTTCTCATGCACCGCCGTGACTACGAGTGCACCCGCCCCAGTATCCACTCCTAGATTAGGGACACTTCGACACACGCTGCCGCCACGCCTGCACTGGCCATTCCGCGCCTCGTGCAGCACCACGGCGACCAGTGAAACTCTGCCTGGTCCACCCGTAACTAGTCTCCGCGCCCAACCGGAGCTAGCTAACGCCTCTCTGACGCCCTGACCATTTCCCCGACCCACGTCACCCGAATTCTGGGCGAGATCAAGCCAATTCCGCCAGGAGTCCGCCGGAGTTGCCACTCCGCGCATCCGCGAGAGCAGTGCAGACAAGCAGTGGGTGCAAGCAGGGCCTGAAAGCAGTTCGCGACAAGCAGCTTTGTGTCAGGGACCGACCGATCAAGCAGATCGACGAGTCGATAAAAGCAGCGCGGCAGCCAGCCATTGACAAGCAGCGCGTGTGCCCCGCCTGCTCCTAGAGCATCTAGTGACCACATCGTCCGGCAGCCACGTTACCGACCTTCGATGACCAGAATTTAGTGCGCGTAAATTCGCAACCCGGGTCCCACACGCTGTTATAATAAATTCCTACAAATATTTCCGTCCCCTCTAAATAAATTTCTTGAATAGGATCCCTGGTCACGACTGGGATCTATCCCGGCCGGAGAGATTCGTTACAAGTGGCGCCCGAACAGGGACGGGATTGGGTTAAAAACCAGGAAAAATAACACCTATATAACAGCCGTGTGGCCCCGGGCCGAAGCCGGAAAATAACTTCCATCAAATTCCGCGAGTGAAAATCCACCGAAAAGTGCCCGTGACCGCGAAATTAAAACCGCCTCGCCCAGTAACCGCGACAAGCGATAAACGTGTCCACCAGTAACCGCGTCCAGGAGCCCACGAGCTCATCCGCGCCTCCGCCAAGTCAATGCGAACGAGTGTTAGTGCCAACAGACATTTAATCCACGCAACGTGCCCCAGCGGCCTAGACTACCTGATCCAACAAACACACGAGAAGACAGCCAAACGGGAGCAATGGAAGCCATGGATTCGGACCAGAAACCTGCCGGTGAGTTCGTTCCACGTTTACTTAAAAACCCTGGGGTCTCCTCGCGGTGGATCTATTCCCGCCCGAAGGCCGAATTATTAGCATTCGCGGAAGAATTTGGGTTCTCTGCCGACGGGGTCGTCGATGACCTACGGCGGAGCTTCGTCACATTAATCAAAGAATCCGAGCAACCACAGGAAGTGTGGACTCGACTCGCCGACCTGGAGCGTCGGTATACCACTCGGGGCCCGAGCCCTGGGCCTCAGGGAGAAGAACGGCCGGGACCCAGTGGCCTCTCCACGAGTAAAAAATGCAAATTCTGGACGCCCACGTAGCGCCCCCGGTTCCACTACTTCAGTTCCTCTGACTAGCTTCGTTGTTACCACTCCCAGCTTCACTGTCACCGCCCCAAGCCTCGCCGTCGCCGCCCCTCCTACTTTCACTACCGCTCGAGAAACCTCCGCTGAGCCGAGCTACGACCGGCCTCGTCGCGACTTTATGTGCGTCCCAGAGCGGATCCGCAAATGGGGTTTACAATTTGATGGGTACTCCGACCCATTGGCCTTCATCGAACAGGTCGAAAGTCGGGCCTTGTCCTATCGAATCGACCTAGGACTCCTTCCTCGAGCCATGGCGGAACTGCTGACGAGCAGGGCCGACAAGTGGTTTCAAACCAGCCGGCTCCAAGAGGCTGAATGAATCCGGAGTCGCGAGCAGCTAGGAGAAGAAACTTTCAAAGATTATATGCTCAACCTTCGCGTTCTCATGCGCCACGCGGGCTATACCGAGACTCAGGAGCTCGACCGCCTGTACGAGAATATCGCACCCGACTATCAGATGTACATTCGGCGCAGCGAGTTCCAAACAATTGGGGAGCTGGCCCAACTGGCAACCGAATTCGAAGCCGTCAGGCGACGCAGCCTAGGGCGATCCCAAGCAATGTCAACGCCTCCGAGTAGCCCCTCCTTCCGTCCGCCTCCCCACAGTGGGGGTCAAACATTTTCTCCCGGGTGCACCGGATCAAACGACCTTCCGCGGACGCCGGGTCAGGGACGGCCACCCGCGCCCGTGCGATTAAACCGGGTAGCGACACCAGATCGCCGCATCAACGTGCGGGATGCGTGCCGAAATTGCGGGGATTCCAGGCATTTCAGCCGCGAATGCCGGAACCCTCGGTTATACTTTTGCTGGGACTGCGGACGACGCGATGTTCGCACCGTAGAGTGCTGTCGTCGACCCCAGCCGGGAAGCGGAGTGGGTCCCCACGACCGGCGGAGTCCGTTGGGGACCAATCCCGCAACGAACACCTAGTAAACGCGCCGCTAAGAATCGAGAGAGGGAGGATCGCCGCCGAAGTCGAGATCGGTGGCCATCTACGCCTGGCCACCATCGACACTGGCGCATCGAAGAGCTTACTCAGCCAGGAAGTCGCCAACCTAGTTGGCCAACGACACCAGTTTCAGGAGATCCGCACCCAAATTAACTTGGCCGACATCTCGCGAGTCGAGGTTCGACAACTCCTGCGCGCCGATATCACCCTCGTTTGGAAGACCATCCAGGTGCCCCTCTTCTTTATGCCGGCCATGTTGGAACCCCTGATCCTGGGCATGGATTTCCTGGCCACAATCGGCACCACCATCCAGTGTGGGACGGCCAAACTCATCTTGTCGAGACGACAGCCGGAAAAGCGGGACATGAGGCCACCCAGAGAAGCGAGACGCAGCATGCGTACAACGGACGCCACGGACTCTCGAACCACCGAACCACCCAACCCACGGGGCCCAGCCGGATCCGAGCTGAGCGAGGAAGCACCGCCTGCTCGCCAGGAAGAGCACCGCCTGGGCATCGCCGACCATTTCACGGAGATACTCGGGAATACTAACGCCGGAAAACAACACGAGATA